TTATCGTTTATTGTTACAACCGCTGATAATGATCTAAATCCAACCATAGGAGATGAATATATATATATATATATATATATGGAGGTGTTGTGCACTAATTACGTGTACACATCACCTAACAACGTAGCTTTTTTATTGCTCAGTTTGGAAGAGTATAAATGCAAATATGTACAGTGTAAATACATACAAAATATAAGGTTTTGCACTCTACATATTTGCATTTATACTCCTAAACTGAGTCTAAGGCAAACTATTGGGAGTGCATGAAGTGGCCCACGATTCAAAAAGAAATGTATGAGGATGCGTAAATTAATGGTGCATCACCTTTGTATTCCCCAGTTAATAAGGTGTTGTTTGGTAAGTTTTTTTTAGATCTTTCAGTAGACCTGACAGCCAAAGGACAATGTGAGCTTTTGCATTAACATCTTAGTAGTCTGAAAATCGTTTGGTTAAGGCATCTTCCTACATGTCTTTTCGTGCGAAGACAGTGAAAAAAAGTTGAAAAGCTCCATTTGGAGCTTGCCGAAAATAGTCCATCCCAACCAAATGAAAAAAGATCAAAATGCAAACTGTCAGGATTCTAAGCAGCCAACAGCCTGTGTAGAAAGATGCACCAAATGGGGCCTAAGTTAATGTACATTATATGAAGAGGCAAATTGTTTATTGTCTATAGCGGGTGCATGAAAAGAATGTTGTGGGAAGGTAATAAGTAATGATACGCCTATTAGATTTTGACACGTGGCGGCATTGATCTCTAACATAAATCAACAAAGCATCTCACCTTGGGTGATAACCTCAATCTCCTTAGGGGTGGAGCAAGGACTTTTTTAATGAGGGCAACCAAAACCTAAAATATACATGAAGGGTTGATATACAAAGGAGGAGTAGAGGAGTGGGGGAGTGGGGGAGGGCAAAAATATACATGAATGGTTAATATATAAATGGAGATTTCTGGGTCATAGGGCAAAAATTTCTGCAGGTGGTGCAGTGCTACCCCTAAAAGTTTATGTTCAACGCGAAGGTTTACGGTCATGAAAACTGGAGCAATCTTAAGACGCGCGTGCAGGTTTGTTCGAGAGAGAAACCTGGAGAGAAATCAGATGCAGGCGGCGATCTTCCTTCTCGTTCGCTCAAGAGAGAAAATACAAATGAATTAGGTTTTTTAGGTTTGGGGTTAAACAGGGGTAATTCGTGCTATTTTGCAATTTTTAGAAGGGCATTTTTGACATTGTGTTGGCTCTGAAACACATCTGAGCACGTTAAGTGCCAGGCTGTGAACTTAAAATTTCAATCTGAAAACAGATTTCAGGTAGGTTTTCAGACGTAACACCAAACGAGTCTGGCATCTGAAAAACAAGTATTTCAGACTTCAGACCTCTAAAAAGAGTTATCAAACGTGCCCTTAGTGTCAACCTTCTGGCCTTTTTCTCCGGAAAAAGTAGATGAACCAGTTCCTAGTGTATATTGTAATGACAAATTTATCAATCAAGGGGAAAAGTATATAAGTTGTAGAGTTCTAGAGAATTTTGGGTGTTTAAGGTTTTGCTGCATAAAGAACCTCTATGAAATACTTCTGTCAAAATCCTCTTTCTGATTCATTGGCCATTTTTAGAAGCCACTGCATGATGTTGCATTTTGTTGCAACTTTTGTGCTAAGGGTTGATTGTACATGAGTGTAGCTCCTATGAATTTCTTGATAAGTTTATCAAAGATTCAATCATGATTGATAAACTTGTTTAATAAACTTGCTTAAGTCTTTCTATAGAAGGTTGATTTATGAGGAGTTGGAGAGTTTATTGGAGGATAGAGTTTGGAAAACAGTAGCTCTCCTTTTTTTTTTTTTTGTGCTTTGAACAGCCACTCCTGGAAAGTGCTTAACAGTGGGTTTGTTTTATGGTGAATTCTGCTTCCCTAGGGATCAGAAGGAGGTATTATGGTGCTGGCAGTTGCTCTAAAAAGGGAAAAATACTCTGGAGAGTGATATCAGTAGCAAAATTTGGGTTATGTGGTCAGAGAGAAACAGGAGGCTTTTTGAAGACAAATACAGTACAGAAGATACAGTATTGAAAAGTTTATAGGGGTAAAATCTATTCATAGGCATCTGTTCATAAGCAGTTAAAGGATACACCTTACACTTTTTCTTTTAATTATAGCAATCTTTTTGTATCTAGGCTTGTGATGTAATTAGCATACTTTTTTGGGATGTGTGGGCCCCTGTGCAGTATCTTACTGAAGAGGGCTTTATACATTATTTTTCTCAGCTTTATATAATACATTGCCTTTTTCTCAAAAAAAGAAGAAAAAAAGTATACAAGCAGTATACAGGCTTTACAGCTCGAGCAACCAAAAAAGTATGCAAGTGGGTTTTTGATAAAAAAAAGGCAGCTAAAAGTCTGTTTCGTAAGAAGGTAAATTTGTATGAATTATTTTATATTCTATATATTTGCATTTACACTTATTTGCATCATTTCCAAACACATTTACATTTAGCCCATAAATAATGTCAGAAAAAAATAATAAAAAAAAAATATATTTAGTGATACACCCAACGTTATGATGTTTGACATAGTTATCAACCATTGAGTTTGATTTAGTACTAACATCTTTACATTATACATCTTCTTAACCATGTTCCGCGAGAATTAAAATTTTACTTTTATTTATGGCATGCTTGGAATTATCAAATATTATCTCAAAACCTAAAAGCATGGTTTTTAAAACCGATCCGGTGACCGAACCAGTCAGGGGTTCGGTTATTGGGTCGAACGGTTCGATCGTTTAACTAGAACAGTCGTCTCATTCTGATAAAAAAATAAATTAAAAAAGAATAAAAAGAATTAAAAAACGATCAAAACCGTTCGAACAATTAACTAACCGGTTCAACGGTTTGCTGATCAAAATCAACGATTTTACAAAAAAATGAAACTGATCAAATGACCGATTCCCGATTTTTCCGATCCGACCATCCGATCCGGTCCAGCTAAAAGAATTAGTTCTCTTTTCCATGTAATTATTCCATTATTTTTCTTGACCATGTGAAAACAAAAACCGGATCACTCAATTAATTAAATTACATAACTAAATTATTCTGTCTAACGTAATTAATACATCTACTTAGGCATTAAACCACTAACTGCCCATCGCATTTCTGCATCATCATGAAGTAAAAATCAGGGAATTAGTGAATGCTAATTGCCAGTCGTATCAAGTCAATGGTACGTATATACTATGTGAGTGGGTCTAACGTTTTGATGAGGGGAGAATGTGGATGTGTTGCTCTAATTATTTAGGAGGGTTTTGAGTGAATCCAAAGCTAGCTTGCTGTAGGCGCTGGCTATGTTAAAGTAAGTCAGCTTCCATACCTTAGGTTTTATCATCGTTTACTTTGCTTTTCTAGGATTCATATGACCCCAACACAGATTTCATGGTACGTATTTAAATTTTAAAGGCGGATTTCCATGGCAGTGTTGTTTTGTGTCACGGAACTGCCTCTGATTGGTACGACTTACGAGCATGGAGGCCCCACATGATCCAACATATCCACCAGCTGGAGCCTGGAGAATCACCTTCCTTACACAGCTGTTTGATTTGATCCTAAGTACGGAGGCATCATAACATGGGACCGCTCTGACCTTATATGACTGGCCTGATGATGTATGCTTTCACATCTCAAGTGAAGACTTCAACCAACAAAATTAGAGATTGTAGATGGATGGAATAGAGTTGTGAGAAAACATTAGAAATTACGATTAGAAAACACAAGAAAGAAACGCAAATAGCTAAAATTGGTTAGTTACATGACTAAACATATTTGAAGAAATGAGAATGCGTGTGCTTTTAAGCTGACCAAATAAAGCCATCTAAGTGTCTGCTGGGTCTGACACCTTAATTCAAGTTTTCTAATGCTAAACATGGTTTTTAAAAACGAATCGGTCAGGGGTCCGGTTATTGGTTCGAACAGTCTGATCGTTCGATCTGAACGGTTGGTCCATTTTGACAAAAAATTTAAAAAAAATTAAAAAATTGAAAACCATCAAAATCGTTCGAATGATTCAAATGGTTCGAATAATTAACCAACCAGTTCAATGGCTTGCTGACCAAAATCAACGGTTTTGAGGATTGACCGGTTCTCGGTTTTTCCGGTCCAACCGTCCGGTCTGGTCCGGTTTTGAAAACAGTGCTTAAAAACACCCGCTCTTTCATACGAGCACATTCCTCTATCAAAAAAAGAAAAAGTAGAAAAAAACATATTGATAGTGATAAAAGTTTATATGATGGAACACTTTTTTCTTTTCTTTTTTTAATTTTTTAATTTTAACATCTTTTGGACTACATCAAGAAAAGGGATGTAAATTAATACGTATACGGTATACCCACTTCAACACCCTTTTAAAGTATTATATTAAACCTATCCATATTTCTAATTGTACCGATTTTAGGCCTTTTAAGTGTATTCAGCACAAGAAAAATATAAAAGTATGGAGATATTCTGGATACACGATTGCAAATGACCATGAGTAAAGTGCTTTGTGAGGATTGATACACGTTTCAAGAAAAGTTTTATAAGTTGAGTGAGTTCATGGTTTAAAGTAATGTTTTAAAAAACGACCCAAAAATGGAATCGTTTTAATCACCGGTTTTTGGGTTAATGGTCCGATCATCCGATTCGAATGAATGGTTCATTCTGATAGGAAATTTTAAAAAATAAAAAAAGTCAAAAACCATTAAACCAAGTTACCCCCCACAAAATTGCCCCCAACAATGTCCCACAGCACATTTCCCCCATGTATTAGAAACATTTCCCGATATCAGAAATGATGAACCAACGCTGGGAGATATTCACAATACACGGTGGGAATGTGCTGTGGGACGTTGTGGGGGCTGATTTCAACTCCTACACATGAGTCCATGACTCGGACAACCATTTAAAAATACAGCATTCACATAGTCGAAATTGACACAGACCGATCTCCAAGAAAAGTTATAATAATGGAGTACGGACCAGCGTGCCACTTCGTCCTTACTAATTGCTTATGCCACCTCTTATGGCACTGATATTGGACACATGCTTTGGCCACCTTCTATTTGAATATCTTATCTTATCTCATCAGACTTCACAGAGAGAGAGAGAGAGGAGTCGTAGCTGATCATCACCCTCCATTATTGCCATGGCTTCACAGCTTCACTTCGTTTTGATTCCTCTAATGGCCCAAGGCCACATGATTCCCATGATGGACATGGCGAGACTATTTGCAGAGCGGGGAGTAATGGTCACCATAGTCACTACCCCCTTCAATGCTCTTCGCTTCAACTCCGTCATGCACCGGGCTATTGAATTCGGCCTCCCCATTCGTCTTCTCCAACTCCAATTTCCACATGCAGCAGCAGGCTTACCGCCAGAGACGTCTGAGAATCTGGACACCCTCCCCTCCCGAGGTTTGGCCAAGAGCTTCTTTGATGCCACCGAAATGCTCCAAGAACCACTACAACAATCGCTCCAAGAACTACGACCCTCACCCAACTGCATTATATCCGACATGATTCTCCCATGGACATCTGATATCGCCCACAAGTTTCAAATACCCAGAATCATCTTCCATGGAACCTGTTGCTTCTCTCTCTTGTGCATCCACAATATACAACACCACAAGGTTCTTGAGAGCATCACCTCCGACTCAGAGCCCTTTGAGGTGCCAGGCCTACCAGATCGAATTCAGCTCACCAAAGACCATCTTCCCGGAACTGTTACTCAGACCTCTTCGGATCTACAAGATTTTCATAATCGTATAAGAGAGTCTGAACTATCGTCCTACGGAGTGGTGGT